TTCAGTCAGCCGGTAGATCTGATGGGTGTCAGATGCCAAAACTTTTTTGCCAGAATCCACCACCCCCTTTGCCACCAAAGAAATATGCTATAACCACTGTGCCACAGTCAGAGAAAAGCGAATCTACACCTGATATCAAACTTACAGAGGTGTTTAAAGCTACCTCTCATCTTCCGAAGCACAGTTTAAGTACAGCTTCAGAACCAAGTTTAGAAGTGAGTACACATGTGAATGATGAAAGACATAAAGAAACATTTCAAGTGAGAGAGTGTTTTGGCAACACACCAAACTGCCCGTCCAACTCCCCAACTAATGATTTTCAGGCAAACTCAGGTGCCGTTGATGGATTTTGCCAACCAGAACTAGATTCTATTTCTACGTGTCCAAATGAGACAGTTTCCTTAACTACCTATTTTTCAGTTGATAGCTGCATGACAGATACATATAGATTGAAATACCATCAGAGGCCCAAGCTCGCTTTTCCAGAGAGCAGTGGCTTTTGTAATAATTCACTATCTTAGAGAGAAAAAGGACTAGGACCTGTGTTACAAAATAATCTTGGTTCAAGCTGCCCTTCTGAATAAAGATATAAACCTAGCATACATTCTAATAGATAACTGGTAAAATTGACCAACTTTTACTTCTCAGAGGCCATTTAAATATAATAGGAACCTACTGACCAAACCTAGTGATAGATAAAATTAAAGCCCGTGGCATTTTTAAAGTTGTTAATCACTATACATATGTATATGTGTATACACATATCTAATTTTATGATCAGTTTATTAGATATTTAAGAAATTCCCTTTGAATAGTCTTGGCATGCCGTGAAAAATAGAAAATCAGGGAGATACAATAATTCATTCGTTACATGCTACAGTTGAATAAAAATTAAATTTGTCCCCCTATTTTGTGGCCAGTAGACTGGGAAGCATTAAACTAACCAGTACTCATGTGTGGAGATTATAAACTATGCTAATTGAAAAGTACCAGATGATACATAGCCTGGTACTTTTTTGTCAAAGAATTGCTTTATGAAGAAGCACTTTCTAATGGGTAACCAGAAAAGGGCTTCACCCATTTGTTTTTGACTTCTATGATAGTCACTGCATATGATCCCTTTAAGTGTCTTTAAAAAAATGACTTGTGAATTTGATAGCATTTGGGGGAAGAAAAGCCTTATATGATTAAAATTTGTAAATTTTCAAGATCAGATAGAATTTAATTTTGCTCCTAGAACTTTTGTCTTCTGAGTATCTACCTAAATTAGGCCTTTGACTATTTATAGGTATTCATAAATACTACTTTAGCCATGTAAATTAAAAAGTTAAAATACTTAAACTTTAGTATATTTATTTATCTCGTTACTCTTTTTTCTAATTTTGTATGAAATATGAAAGATCTTTATTTTGGTTTGGTTTACTTTGGGTTGCTAACCAGCAGTGTTAGGAATTAATGTAGGGCCCCCACTGGTATGTCACTGTCATTGCCTACCTTTTCTTTGCTGTAGTATTACCTGCTTATAGGTTGTCAACCCATTTTATCTGAATTTGAAAATCTATCTACGTTTCCAGATTAAATTTCTACCTTTCGTATAGAGTTTAATTTTAACAAAATGTTTAATTGAAGCATCCTTACCTTTTATCTACTTTGAACAAATAGTAATTTTACCCCAGCTACTTTTCATGAAGAGGGCTTTGAAAATTAAAGGAATTTTTATTATTATGGTAACCTTACGAGTAAAAATAAGTTACTTTAATTGCCTTATTTCATTAGTTGTCATTTTATTTTGTACTATGCTGGTAAACTAATTGTGGTTTAGAATAGTTTTATGTTCACTCCAGATAACTGAGAAACAGAACAAAAATTTTCCTTACATTCCTAAATGGATAAACCTCATAAATATAATTCAATAAACTAGTAAATGTAGCCACTTGACTGATTCCATAAATCGTGTTAAAACATTCTAAAATGTTGTAAATAATTTAATGTGAATACTGTTAGATAAACAGAAAATAACTGCTTATAAAAGTCTAACTAAAAGTTTAACCAGTTACCAAGTCGTGGCCCAATTTTATCTTCTACCTATAGTTTTTACTAGCCTTTTTAAACTATAATAGTGAGTGATCATTACTTTATATTCTCATAAGTTAGAAATACTTGAATCCCAAATTAATTTTATCGTTTAAGAAAACTTATTTTTAACATAATTTTTTAGTATGGAGGGTTTGTAAATAAAGTTTGTAAACCTGTATTTGAAATACCAAAGTTTTTACTGCTTTTACAACACTGTAAAATACTAGAAAAATGGGCTTCAAGTTTTTTAATAGCTGTCAGAAAGTTTGTGTAGTTTTTTTTTTTTTCTATTTGGTTAAGATGTGAGTTGGAAATGTATTATTTGAAACATTTAAACTAATTTTTGTATTTAACAGCAGTTTCAGAGATTTGTCTTTTCAACTCAGTTGAGTTGTAGACATCAAATAGAAATGTCCAGTTTTGCCTCTTTTGTACAGTTGAAACCTCCTGACTCATGTACTGCTACACAAACTAGAAACTGACCATTTATTTTTATGTTGATTCAACACTCCAAATACAGATCGATATATATATATATACACTAATCATTTTATTTCATGTAAAATTTTTACATCTAGGGTGCCTATTTATTTTTATAGATGTTTTCATCCAGATATAAGCTCATTATAACTTTGTAAATAATTCAGCCAACAGTTGTAATGTTTAAAATACTTACCTTCACAATGTTATATTTTCATGTGAAATCAATTTCTTCTCATCCAAAAAAATTTTAAGATAAACTGATTTTTAAGTTTATATGATTGGACTTCTCTTTGCATTCATGAACTGTGCGTCACCCTCCCCCCAACATGGATTACTATGGGTTAAGTCACGGATACTTGGAATTTCACTGATCATGAAATGTTATCTATCACAGGAGAGATCCTAAGAGTTAAACTCCAGCAAGGTCTAAAGCACAGCTCCTTAGAAAAAGAGTTGGCAAACTTTCTATAAAGACAGAAAATAATTTAGGCTTTGTGGACCATAATATTTCTGTAACAACTACTCAGCTCTGCCTTTGTAATGTGAAAGCAGTCATAAACAATATGTAAATGAATGAGCATGGCTGTTTTCCAGTAAAAGTTTGTCAACATAGAAATCCAGATTGCATATAACTTTCATGTTATGAAAGTCTTTTTTTTTCCCCCCAATCATTTTAAAATGTAAAAAACATTCTTAGCGCACAGGCTGAAGTCTCCAAATGTACTCTCATGCCACTTATGGACTCAGCATTTGCAACTGTTTACATCCTGACACGTTCAGGTTAAGCCCCCTAAAAACTATCCCTTGAAACTGCTAATAAGCCAGTTCATTTCAAAAGGAACTACTAAAACAATCATTTCACTTATATAAAATGGTGTGAATTTACAAAAGAATTTATCAGAGTAAAGTCACATTGATTTTCTTTTGATGTCTTTTTTTATGTTTTGTTAGCAAGTTTGCAACTTCTTGGTGTTCCATTTATCCACTCCTTAAAAGCCTTCAAACTGAGGGTAATGTAAGCAGTCACTATACTTGCTATGGCACTTTAATTGTAGGTACAATTTCTTATCTATAGGAAAGATTCAAACTTCATACTGCCACCAATTTTAAAAATTTTAAAAACTGCCAATTACAGTCATGTCATATTACTAAGTCAGGGTTCTCCATAGAAAGAGAATCAACAGGATATATATAGAGACATATAGAAATAAATATATTATGAGGGATTGGCTCACATGATTATGGAGGCTGAGAAGTCCCACCATCTGCTGTCTGCAGACAGTAAGCCCAGGAAAGCCAATGGTGTAGTTCCGGTCCAGGTCCAAAGGTCTGGGAACCAAGGGGCCCTGCTCCATGTCTGAAAGCCAGAGAATCAGGAGAACCAATGTCCAAGGATAGAACATGGATGTCCCAGTTCAAGCAGAGAGAAGACAGAATTTGCCCTTCCTCTGCCTTTTTATTCCAGCCAGGCCCTCACGGGATTGGATGATGCCCACCCACAGTGGAGTGGATGGCTCTTTTTTATTTGGTCTACTGATTCAAATGCTAATCTCTTCTGCAAACACCCTCATGGACAAACCCAGAAATCTGGGCATCTTCTAGCATAATCAAGATGACACATAAAATTAACCTTCACACCAAGATCTCTCCATCTTCACTATACTAGAAATTTTCAGAGTATCTGGTAGTTGTGGTAGTAGGCTGATTTTAGGCTCAAAAAGACAGTATGGATTATGAGGCTCAAAAAGACAGTATGGATTATGATCGGAAGTCTGTGTGTGACCTAACAGTAAACTATGTGAGAACTGTTAATCACCTCACAATCTCACTACCAGGTAATTTGTTACAATAAAACCAAACTCAGCTATATAAGTAAACACTTACTAGACGAAACCATTAGCAAGCAGTGCAGAAACAGTTCACACAATTGATTTGGTAAACTCAGTGAAATCCCAGTTCTGTGTTCCCACAGATGTTTCAACCATACCTTCCATAGATGGTTCTCTTTAGGTTGATGCGGCAACACCTTAAAGGCATGACTGCTAACTTTATACTCAGGAATTATATTCCAGACTTGACTAACTCTAAGAACCATTTTGAAAGGTAGGAAGATACACAGAGAGTTTACCAGATCTTATTTCCTGTTTAAAAGGGAAGGAAATATTCTCAAAATATTTAAGACAATTCATATATACTGAATGCAACTAATTTAAACAAGAGACCACTTTTACCATTCCTCATGTAAAGCCTTTAGGGCTAACAGGAATATTTTCTTTTTGAGACGGGGTCTCTGTTGCCCAGGCTGGAGTGCAGTGGCCCCATCTTGGCTCACTGCAACCTCCACCTCCCGGATTCAGGCAATTCTTATGTCTCAGCCTCCCGAGTAGCTGGAACTACAGGTGTATGCCAACATGCCCGGGTAAATTTTTTGTATTTTTTAGTAGAGAGAGGGTTTCACCAGGTTGGCCAGGCTGGTCTCACAACTCTTGACCTCAAGTGATCCACTGCCCTTGGCCTCCCAAAGTGCTGGGATTATAGGCGTGAGCCACTGCGCCTGGCCAACAGTAATATTTTTTATTAGCTACTACAGCTTAGAGTAGCTGCTATGGGAGTGTGGTCTTTTTGATTAAATACCAGCTGATCAACCCTAGAATGTAAATTCTTGTTTTATAACATTTAAATTTAAATAACAGTAAGAATGTAAGCTCTATGAAGGCAAGAATGCCTTTTTTTTCTGTTCACTGCTGTGTCTAAAATAATGTCTGGCTCAAATATTTGTTGAATGAGTAAATATGCTGACTTCGCTGAAGTATTTAAACAAGTTACAGATATTATAAAAATAAATGTTTTGGGCACAAGCACACTTAATGCAACAGTAATAAAAAATAGGTTTGAAACACATAATCCTTCATTCTAGGAGGCTCAAGAATTTAAAAGGAAAAAAGGGGGAAGATACGCAGGTAAGAGGGCATGCATGCTAGCTTTCCAATACTTTGATATTACCTGCTTTTTCTAAAACTGTATCAACCTGTCACCCACCCATAACCTATCTTTTCATAACAGATTCCAACTAAACATAAAAATTAAAACTGGAACTTAGCCTCTATGCAATCTAAGAATACTTTGTTCCCTCTCTCAAAATCTTTCCCTGCTTTTGAATAACTGGCTTTTGAATTCATAAAAACCTTCCCTTATTAATCACCCTATTACTTGCATCATATTAAATCCTGATCAACTCTTAAAACATTAAAAGACATTACTATATTTGTTAATGAATACACAAGACCTTTAAGTATAAATGCTTTTATATTCAGCCCCTGTAAAGCCATTAGATGTTGTTGGAAAGTTTTTAAACACGAACCAAATGGTTTAATTTTAACAACTTAGCTAGGAATGGGTGAAATCCTACCCATTTAATAGAGTTCTGCAAATTAGTAACAAAGTGTAAAATGAAAGGAAGGGTCCCTTGGAGATGTGAAATTCTTCTGTTGAGAGTCTTGTCTTCTTTATTCAAGAAGTTTGTAGCCATTTTCAGAATTCACTCAAGAACCAACTTCTTAATTTAGATATCAGCAAACGAGTCTGTAAAAAGCAAGTATTTGTCAGCAATATTTGCTTTATCTTCCCAATTTTTAACACTTTATGCCTATTTACATATGGACAAAAGAAAAAGAAAAGCCTGGAACATTTCTTGTAAGGCCTCTATTTTCTATCCAGAGCTGAAAATTCAGGTCATAAACACACATACACACACACACACACACAACCCACTGTATTTGAGATTATTAGTCTCTACCAAAATAGGGAGAGTAAAACTCCCTTTACAAAGGGCTCGACGATAATTTTATACAAATCCCTATCCCTTTTGCCATCCTCCCCATTAATCCCTCTGGCTCCCCTACCCCCGTTTTTTTTGAGACAGGGTTTTGCTTTGTTCCCCTAGACGAGTATAGTGGCGCATTCACAGCTCACTGAAGCCTCGACCTCCCCAGCTCAAGCAATCCTCCTGTTTCAGCCTCCCAAGTAGCTGGGACTAAAGGCGTGAGCCACTGTGCCTGGCCCTCTCTGTCTTCTCTAAGTTACCACACCATCCACGAAATCAGACAGCGAGGCTTAAGACACTCAACTCTTGGTGAAAATATAGGATGGGGGTGGGAAAATTGACTGCCTCTCAAGAAGTGAGAATTTCAGAAGTAACTCATAGGCATGGTGACTGAGAGGAGTTAACAGTGAGTGAACAATCAACTCCAAAGTCCAGGAGAGCTGTCTAGATGGGCTACACTGCTCTTCTCCCATAGGAGCCCTCTTTCATCTCACTGCTTCTCCTTAGCTTGTCTCTTATCACCGTCTCCATTTGGTGTCCGCTTCCTCCTGCCCTATTCTTAGAGAATATCCTCTGCCAGAAATGTCTTTTCAGAGCGAGTGGCGATGAAAATGGAGAGCATGAGTTTTACAAGTAAACTACAGAATTCTGTGACTTGGTGTTTTAGGATATGTGGATGTGTGTAAGAAAAGGACAAAGTGTCTCAGGTTTCTGGGAGGTAACGGTGGATAAAGTTGGCGTTTACTGAGATGGGAACACTGCAAGGCATGTAAATTTGGGTAAGAAGCTGTCAAGAGTTCAGTTTTGGACATGTTAAGTTTGAGATAACTGCGTAGTCTGCTCATGTTAAAAAACAGCTGTATAGTAAAAAACAGCTTTCGTTGAGCACTTACTACTGCCAGGCAACACGCAAATCACTACGATCTCAATCTTCACTACACCCCTATGACCTGGGTCACTAACGGTTCCAAATGGCAGATGAAAAAATAAAGCTCCAAAAAGCGAAATAACTTCTCCGGTCGCTTCACGGTGCTGCAGGAACTCAAGCCTAGCTGGTTTCACGCCAAATCACGAGAAAATATGACGCCAAGTTTTCTGCACACTTCTTTGGAGACTCCCACGGACGTTCAAAAGAAGAACATTTTACTCCTAGTCCTTCTCCCCCACCCACCCGACTGCGCCACTCACCAGCTGCGTAATCTTGGACATATATAAACTCTGGAATTCAGTCCCCTCTCCGCCCAAAAGAGAGCAAATTATCTCTAAGCTCCTTACCACTCCAATTCTGCATTCAAGATACTCACCATGGCAAAAAATACACAAAGAGAAACACCACCACATCGAAAAGGATGAAGAGCCAGAGGTCCAACCAGTAGGAGTGTTTGGGAAGCCCGTTTGCCCCAGACCGAGGCCGCACATCAAGGTTCTGCCCCGCTCCCTCGCTCAAGCCTCGCCGCTCCCGGAGACCATCTCGACCATCAACACCCGGTGCGTCCACCTCCATCTCGCTTCTGCAGCTTCCTAACAATCCTAGAAACTGAAAAATGCTTAGATTCCTGGACTTTGGTGTTCGCCGGACCGGAAACTGAGCGGAATCCGGCCGCCTGCGCAGTCCGCCACTCACCGGGTTCCGGAAAGCACTCTGAGCCTACCCTTCCCAGCGCGCAGGCGCCTGGCCCGGCTTTCCGCTGCCTACGTGACCGCGGACAGGAAGCGCGGCCTCTGCTTTGACACTAAATGAATGGGCCGGCCTACTTCTGCCTCGCGGCGTCCCAAGCCGCAAGGTGGTTATTCAGGTTTGGTTGGAAGAAATACACTCTCGTCCCACTGAAAGGCCCATTCCAGCCAGGTGATGGACTCCTCCCTGGAACTGCCCAAGGTCACCTCTCCTATCCCTGTATTCCCTTTGGATCTTTATGCCAACGTGTTAGGAAGGACCCCTCTGGTGGGTTTTGTACTATCTCTAGCATTTTACACTTAGTATTTGAAACACCACCAGTGAGGTGGACGTCCTACTCACAGGACTGAGTTTCCAAAAGGGCCAGAGACCAGCACGTATTTTGCAGGTACTTCAAGGGAGTGGGTTTAAGAATAACCTGGCCACGCCCCCTGTAATCCCAGCACTTTGGGAGGCCGAGGCAGGCAGATCACCTGAGGTAAGGAGTTCGAGACCAGCCAGGCCACCATGCTGAAATCCCGTCTCTACTTAATATAAAAAAATACAAAAATTAGCCGGGTGTGGTGGCGGGCGCCTGTAATGCCAGCTACTCGGGAGGCTGAGGCAGGAGAATCGCTTGAACCCGGGAAGTGGAGGTTGCAGTGAGCCAAGATCGTGCCACTGTTGCACTCCAGCCTGGGCGACAGAGCGAGACTCCGTCTGGGGGGAAGGGGGACGGGGAAGAATAATCCAAAGGTTATTTGACTTTGAGTGTGAGCCTCAGCAAGAATAGAATGCTAGCAGGAAGAAAATGACCCATACTGCCTGGATTTTGCCTAGTAGGTCCAATTTCAAATATTCTCTTTCTTTTCGCATTATGATTCCTGAATTGTTCAGAAAATATGGGCACCCCGATATATAAGTGGTTCTCTTAGTGCATAGTAAATGGAGATAAGACGGTAGTTGTGTTTTTACAGAAAGTCATTAAATCGTCGTAAAACTTTTTTGAAGGGGCTGTACTGCATTTTATAGAATTAGAAAATGAAACACAAAAGGAGTGAATTGTCTAGGGTTACTAAAAAAATTATAAAGCCTAAAATTAACTACAGATCCAGCAGTCTTAAATAAGCTATTCCATAGCTTCCTAACCTTGCTCCAATTTGCCTCCAAATCAATTACCAGGTTTTAGAGACACAGATAGTATATGACCTTTCAAGAAAAATGCTTTGTAGATTCTGGGATGAGAGGGTCATTACCTGATAATTAATTAGATTGTGTGCTGTAATGCAGATTGTCTGATGGTAGTAGACAAAAAGATCCTGGGCATAAGTGGCATTGAATCTTTACAAAAATTAGGAAAGGCAAGTAAACAATTGCCCTTACCGGAGATGGAAGCATTCTTCTCGCTGACAAGGTAGGATCAATTACTCCTAGTTATTGAAGTAGGATTGATAAAAAATTATTGAGATTATTAGTGATGAATAAGCATGACATAAACTGAACAGGCCTTGAAGTGGTTTTAAACTTGTCCTTGGCCCAGAGCCACATGCTCATCATGAGGGGATGTTGATAGTATGATCTGATCTTGAGTCAGGAACGTCTGTCAGACTTGGAAGAGTAAGTAATGCAAATAAGGAGGGGTTATTTTAACTAAATTCAGTTGAAAGATTCTATTTCCGACTTTACCCTTGTAAGAGTCCCACTGATTGTTGATTATTCCACATTACAAAAATGAGTTTAGAGTGTGTTGTAGCTGGTTTTGAACTACTGGCCTCAAGTGATCCTTCTGCCTTGACTTCCCAAAGTGCTGGGATTACTGGCATGAGCCACCTTGCTCCGTTGGCATTTGCCATTGTCGAAGCAATTTAAATTTTAAAAAGTACTGTACAGAAATGCAGGTTCACTGTCAATCATCTACTCCTCTGCACTTGTCCAACCACCTTGAACTTTCTACTTCACATGTTCAAGTGAAAAATATGCACTAGGGACTATAGATTGAATCATTGCACTGTAACCATGATCCAACACTTCCATAATTCTGTCAGCAAAATTAATCTGATTGGGCTGGGGTGGAGAAAGTGGTGCATGAAAATGCTATAACCATCAGGCCAAAGACAGCTAAGTGTTTTTAAGAAGACGTTACAAACCTTCTGAACTTCAAGTGCAGTAAGTTCTCAGGAGGGAGATGATGGTGAATTTTGCTTTAACCTAAGGGATAATGCAAATTTTTCTTATGCAGCTCTCAAACTAGTATGTCCATGTGATAAAGCATCCTTGTGATCATCCTAGGAATTAAATTAATTTTACAGAATAACCTCTCCAACAGTGGAGAATTTGGTTACTGTAATTTTTATCTGGAAGTATGTGTGTTTCTCTTAAATTATTCTTTCTCATCGTAATTTCATCTTTTCTTCCTTTTCAAATTGAGTACCTGTCCTAACAACAGCCCTGTTGATTGGTACCACAGGTTACTTCTCCATCTTCTGGGTCATTTTATTTATTCATTTTGTTGTTATTGTTCTCTTAAATTCTTTTTTTTTTTTTTAAATTGAGTCTTGCCCTGTTGTCGCCCAGGCTGTAATGCAGTGGCATGATCTTGGCTCTCTACAACCTCTTTTTTTTTTTTGGAGACGGAGTCTTGCTCTGTCACACAGGCTGGAGTGCAATGGTGCGATCTTGGCTCACTGCAACCTCCGCCTCATGGCGTCAAGCGATTCTCCCTGCCTCAGCCTCCCGAGTTGCTGGGATTACAGGTGCCTGCCACCACGGCGGCTAATTTTTGTATTTTTAGTAGAGACAGAGTTTCGCCATGTTGGCCAGGCTGGTCTTGAACGCCTGACCTCGGGTGATCCGCCTGCCTCGGCCTCCCAAAGTGCTGGGATTACAGGCATGAGACACTGTGCCTCGGCTGTTCTCTTTCATTCTAACTCCTTTGTATATCTTCCATAATTTTCTTTGTTTAAGAGTTGTACTATCTGCTGGGCGCTGTTGTTCACACCTGTAATCCCAGCACTTCAGGAGGCCAAGGTGGGTGAATTGCTTGAGCCTAAGTGTTCAAGACAAGCCTGAGCAACAAGGCAAAATCCCTTCTCTACAAAAAACAGTTAGCTGAGTGCTACACCTGTAGTCCCAGCTACTTGGGAGGCTGAGTTGGGGGGATCGCTTGAACTGTGATCGTGCCACTGCACTTCAGCCTGGGTGACAGAGCAAGACTCTGTTCCCTCCCTGCTCTAACAAAGAAAGAGTTGTACTATCATCCTAACTAGGTTGCACCTTTTATCTTTATCTTGGCCTTAGCAGTTCCCACCTTTATACTCACAATTAATCTGGCTCCACTCTACTCAGCCAACCTGGTGCCCAGGAAACATTCTTTGCTCCAGTCAGAGTGCTTTCTTCCATTTTCCTCATGGAAGCTATTCTCTTGGCCTCTGGGCTTTGGTGCATGTTTTTCCTGTTATACTGGAAATATAGTATATTTTTTCCAGCATTGGGGATTGCTTTCTCACCTGTCTAAATCCTACTCCTCCTTTGAGGCCCAACTTAAAGTGCCAATTTCATAAAATTTCCTTCACTACAATTCACACTGATCTCTCCATTCTTGGTATTTCTACATACCAATTGTGAAAACTTCACATTTACAAGTCACATTTAACTTGTCTCCACCTTCTATGTCATGTTTTCTTCTTGAGGAGAGGGTTATTTTTTCAAGATGAAGGCAGTGAATGAAATATTTGTTTCCATAGATTTTTGCCTTCCTTTGGCACCTATTATTTCCCTCTACATTCTGTAATGGCCTCATATTAATGGAGCTATTTGTTAAATTGGTCATCTTTCAAAATTTCCCTACCTCTGGCTCAAAAAAACACTGAAATTTTCTTGATATTGTCTGGCACATTGGCTTGCTTTGTAGGAATTTTATGTAGATTTTCTCTCCTGTTAGAGTATTAAGTTTTGTTAATTTGTTTTGAGACAGGGTATTGGTCTGTCACACATGCTGGGGTGCAGTGGTGCAATCAGAGCTCATGGCAATCTTGAACCCCTGGGCTCAAACAATCCTTCCACTCAGCTTTCCCAGTTGCTAGCACTACAGGCACACACCACCATGCCAGGCTTGCTTTTTATTAATGTTTATTTTTGTAGAAATGGGGTTTCACTATGTTGCCCAGGCTTTTCTCAAACTCCTGGTTTCAAGTGATCCTCCTGCTTCAGCCTCTCAAACTGCCAGGATTACAGGCATAAGCCACAGAACCTAGCAAGTATTAAGTGTTCTTTAAAGGAAAGACAGTATTTTTGCCATCTTGCAAGCTCCACAGCTCTTCGAACAGTGTCTTCCACATGGAAGAAATTTAATGTGTATTCAACAATATTTTGTTATATTCTGCAACCACTAACACAGTCCCAGTCAAAAAAATACTTGTAAAATTTTGTGTTTTAGAACATAATGGTGTATGATACCAGTGGCATCTAACACTACTGATCTGTACTCTCAGCGGGGATACTTTCTGAGATGTTTTGAAGTACTAGTAATGGATATGTGCCAATCTTTTCCCCTTTGTGGATTTTCCTTCTTTAATTTCAGTCAATACTTTTTAATACCTGCTGTGTGTCAGGCATTGTCCAAGGAGCCATAAGAGATACAGAAGCAATACCAACCGATTCATTAAAAATACTGACTAAGGACATATAACAGAACAATGATTTTTTCAAACAGCATCACAGAGCCTGGGGTTCTGCATAATGATTTGGGTATTTGGAAGGCTGAGCAGAACTGGCTGTGAACACATTAGTCAGATACAATTAAACCTCTTTGTGCTACTTACTTACACATATATAAACAGACTTGAACCATAAAAACTTAGTTTTATTTATATTTTAGAGTTTCATACAAGATTTTATTTCAAAACAAAGCATCCTTCTGCTTTTAAAAGTTTAAAAACAACTTCAGTAGAGCAGAGCTTGACTAGTAGGCACAAATGACAAAGATGTTGA